ACAGTGTTGGTAGCCAGGCTCTCTCTGCGTACTCCACACATGTGCTTCTCACTGTGAGCCCACATATCCCCTTCTCCCTGCCAACACTGATTAAACTACTCTTCTCCTAAACCACTGCAGGAGTAACCAGCCCAGAGCAGCATATTCCATGGGTAAGCTAAATGGTTACATGTATGAGATATGCCTCTTTTACACTTCAGTGTTACTCCTAACTTTACAATGAACTTCAAAATTGCGAGGTTACAGCTGCTAAATGCAAACTTCTTTTTATTAAATGGTTTGTGCAATTAAGATTCTACACCCTGAAGTTTATTCTCGTCTTTTTAATCCATCCCAAAATTTCAGTCTCAAACATCAAATGATTTAACAACTAAATTGGTAAAAAGTCTTCTTCCAGTATATTAAACAAATTATCGTAAATCTTCATGTTTCAGAATTATTCTGGAATTACAAGAACTAACCTAGACTGCAGGGCAGCTCACAATTTTGGACAGCATCAGCATTTCATTGCTTTGCTTCCAGCCTAATCAAGTTGCTGTGCTCTTTAACGTGCTTACTCTGATCTGGGGAGCATGTCTCCACGGTGGCAACCTGCTTCCTTGGAAGGCTGGGACTTCAGGAATATGATTGATGCAGTTGGTGGCTCTCATAAAGGCCAGTGTACCTACTGACACTGAATTACCAGGTGTACCTTCTGCCTTGTTAAAAGCTGTGCAAATTAATTGTAATTTTTGAACATGTCCAAAATTAAGAGCTCCCAAGGTTTTGTTTGGGGGGCCTATGCTGGTGTAATGGAAAATCTCTGTAGGTATCTACTGGCACAGGCAACACAATACCTCCTATTAAGACACAAGAGAGACGACTGGGATCAAAGGCCCCCGAGCCTACCAACCAAACAAGGTATTTAAAACAAAAAGCCTGTTTAAGAGAAAACTGCGAGAGGACTCTGCAACTGAGATTTAGAAGTTACTGAACGTTGGACAAACATGCTATAGTGAGATTTTCTATTTTGGTTTTGCCCAGTTGTAAGAAATCATCATATCATTAAGTCATTGCAGCACTCAAAGAAAACAAACAGTCACACATTTTGCAGAACCGTTGTAAGAAGAGCATGAAAACTCCATTTGTGAGATCTCAATTAAACCATCTTTATTTAGGAATCCCTGAAATTCTCTAGCATGTAACTCCCAGAGGCCCAGCATAATTAGAAAACCGATCATGGGAAAACTTCTTAAGATGTAGGCTCCTAATCACAGCCTTCCTGTTATCACCTTTTGCCAAAGATCCATTGCTCACAGGGAGTTGTTTCTTCTTCCCCATTTAGCCCTGTATTATTCCACTCGTAATATTTTTAACTTGTAAATAATTACCAAGAGTAAAGCTAACTTAAATGCACTGTAACAGAAGCTAGTAGGAAAAATTTGATCAGAGGCAGAAAATACAGTCAAAGTGAGAGCTGTTGTACAACCACACGGAGATGACACACTCATATCTACGCGTGCTGCTGAGAGATACTAATTATGCCTCTGGCAAAGGGCACATGGGCTCCTTCAAAGAAGCTATTTAAAGATAAGAACACCGCAGACAAACACTTCAGACATATCTGCGCTATTCCCTTCCTTCTTGTCTTCCAAATTCTAGGTCACAATTTAAAAATAAATAAATAAATAAATATTTTTAAATAATAGAAAGCAGGGGATCCTTGACAAATCTGGTCTGTGAGATGTATTCCATGGTGCTCAGATATTCATCAACTGTTACAGCTTTTTCATTCTGCTCTGGTTACCTTTTAAGAAGTAATTAGTACATTGTATTATCAAATCAAGGGTTCAAAAGAAACGTAATTAAAAATACGTCTAAAGCCCCTAGTATTCTGGATAATGAAACCAAGCAGGTCATCTTGGTTAAATTATCTCCCTTTGAACTTACAGAATGCTAAAAATAAATAAATAAATAAAAGCAATTTGAATCATTAGAGTTTTTGAAACATAGGAGAAGGCCAGGTATATGGGACTCTCTCCCCTAAAATAGGACCTTACTGGCTCTTTTCTGGCTTCCTGGGAACTACAGGCCTGTCAGCTTGACCTCGGTGTCGGGCAAGATTACGGGGCAATTCGTCCTGAGTGCGCCCACCGGGTATGTGCAGGACAACTAGGGGATCAGGCCCAGCCAGCATGGGTTCATGAAAGGCAGGTCCTGCTTTACAAACCTGATCTCCTATGACCAGGTGACCTGTCTAGTGGACGAAGGAAAGGCTGTGGATGTCATCTACCTGGACTTTCACAAGGCCTTTGACACTGTTCCCCACAGCATCCTCCTGGAGAAACTAGCTGCATTAGCTTTAGCAGTGGTTTGGATGAGTGTACTCTTCGCTGGGTAAAGAACTGGCTGAATGGCTGAGCCCAGAGAGTGGTGGTGAATGGAGTTAAATCCAGCTGGCGGCCGGTCACAAGTGGTGTTCCCCAGGGGTCAGTTCTGGGCTCAGTCTTGTTTAACATCCAGATAGCAGATGTCCAAGGAGGTCCCGTGTCCCCCCCCACTTTTACTGGCTCTTTTCAGGCTTTATAAAGGGGTCATCTGGAGTACTCTGTCCAGTTCTGGGCTCCCCAGTTCAAGAAAGATGAACAGCTAACTGGAGAGAGTCCAGCGGAGGGCTATGAGGATGGTGAGGGGACTGGAACATCTCTCCTATGAGGAGAGGCTGAGGGGGGCACAAACTGAGGCACAGGAAGTTCCGTCTGAACATGAGGAAGAACTTCTTCCCTCTGAGGGTGACGGAGCACTGGAACAGGCTGCCCAGGGAGGTTGTGGAGTCTCCTTCTCTGGAGATATTCAAGACCCGCCTGGACAAGGTCCTGTGCAGCCTGCTGTAGGTGACCCTGCTTCGGCAGGGGGGTTGGACCAGATGACCCCCAGAGGTCCCTTCCAACCCCTACCATTCTGTGATTCTGTGATGAAGCAATAAGCTAGAGGAGGTGCCGAAACAGAGAGCTGACAGCTTCCCCTTTCTGCTTTTCTTCTTCTGCTTAAGCAGACCAAGAACATGCCATGTGTGGCACCCAGAGCAGAATTTCCCTTGTGGTTTTTAATATAAGTGTAATTGGGATCTTTCGTCTGAACGCATGTGTTGTCTGAAATACGCAAGTACTCCTGCATACTGAAGAAATTAGGAATGAATTGCAAGTTCTTAATTGACAGTACAAAACATCAATTATTCTACAGATGAATAACAAAGAAGAAAATTACAGGTGCAAGAGCTAAACAGCCACTGATTAACATTTAAAAAATAAATAAATAAATAAGCCCTTCTGAATGAAGCACTGGAATAGGACAAAAATACCTGCGCTTCCTATTTGCATTGTTAAATCAAAACGCTAAGAGACATTCAGAAATAAAAATGGAGATAAGTCACATCCCCACATAGGTTGCCTTTCTTTAAGTGCAAGTGCCTTCAAAGCTATAAATAACACATGCTTAGTTAGCAAGCAGTGGAAACAAGCGTGTGAATGCAGCCATGTGTGCTCACACACATACACACACCATCTGAATTTTCCCACCAACAACTGTGGCAGTTGGCCCAGATCACAGCAGTGACATGCTGCCAACAGACTGATCACCCTTACAGCAGACTAAATTAGAAATACATTTCCACAGATTAAATTTCAGAGGACTGTGATGCCACTTTAAACTCCATTCGATTCTGCTCCTTGCAATCCTTTAAACAAACACAAAAGCTAGCAAACCACCCCCCCCATTCCCTCCACCCACCCGCTTTACCAGAAGTCCCAACTGGATGGAGGCTCCATATTGGACCAGAGTCAAGACAGACCTATTAGCAATCAGTCTAAAGCTACCACTAGCCTAAAATCTCACAGAAGAGAAGAAAAAAGAAATTAAACCATGTGCATTAAGGTGAGGAAGCCACAGGTGGTGTTGACCAGTGCTGCCCACAGATGCAATGGAGACCTCAGAACTGGAAAGCAGAACACAAACACAAGCTTTGAAGGATTCTATCCACTAGGTTAAGACTTTTGCCGACAAGCCCTGTCTGTATCAAAGGCACACCCTTTCAGCCAGTAATGGGACAAAACAACAGCAAGAAGCATTGTTCCAGCACATCAAGGATGGAGCAGTGACTAGATAAGGGGGCAGCAGGGCACCTGCCGAAAGAGAAACATACCACGAGAGCCATTACGACAACTGGGAGATTAAACTGAAAGATGCTATCTTCAGTACATGACCTGGGACACAGGGCCATGGAAAGTCCCAAGAAAAATGATCACTCTGGTAAGGTCTCCTTCTTTAGCTGAGTCTGGACAGTCAGCTGTACCTCACGCTAAGGTCCCCAAGTCTGACACGCAGCCCCGCGGACACACACCAGTGATCCCAGACACACACCACACAGCTCCAGCCAGGCTCAGGCACCTGTTACTGTGAGATAATTCGGGTATCTTGCTGTACAACTTCCAATGCCTTGTCTGCACTTGGGTTGCAAAGCGGAGAAGCTCACCTGTTTTAATTATCACCATGGGAATAATGTGGCTCCTGGGGCAGCTAAGAATAATGGCAACCCCTCCACCCACTGTCAGATGAAAAGCCTCATTCAGATTGAACAATAAAGGACAGCGAGTAGGTAGAGAAGGGGAATTTCCAACCAGATATCTCCTCTTGCAGGAACAAGTACTCAGGCAAGTTAAGCACTTCTTCAGTTTATAGTCAGACAAAACAAAGGAGGATGGGGGGACTTCAGAGAGCTAGACAAAAACCCATTCAGGATAACAGTGCTAAACATAAAAGAAATTTCCTTTTGCACTATTACCGGCCTCGTTTTATGGTCTTTACAACCATGAACTCAAATGCTCCCGCTGCAGATGCAGTCTAATTGCTGAGAGTTGAAATGCACACAATATATCCAAGCGTAGCACCAGTATCTTTCTCTAGCTGTTACTCGGTGTGCAGTGCTACGGCTCATCCCCCCAGGGCTGCTGCGGGACTCCTACCTCGAAGACAGAGGAAAGTGAGAAAATCTTCTGTCTTGGGCTTCCTTTTGGAGAGGTCAGAAATCTGAGTGGCGGGAGGGGGTAACAACGGCTCCACTATCTTGATTGGAGTTGTGCTGGGACTGTTTGGCTGGGACTGAGCAAACTTCCTTTGTGCTTGCAGCCTTGGCCTGTGGAAACAAGAGCGTATCAGGAGCACGTTAGGCAGTTAGGCAGAACTTGCACAAGAGATGTCAGAACACACAAAAAAAATCATTGTTTTTAAAAAAAAAAAAAAAAAAAAAAAAAAAAAAAAAAAAAAAGGACGCGAAGCAAATTAGTATTTCATTTGCTTTACCCTTTGGTATCTTCTGCAACAATTTGGAAAACCAGAAAGGGAACATCTTGACTACAAAATCTGTGACTACTATTTCATATGTTCCGAGTATTTTCTTGCACATCATACAATTACAGTTTACTATTCACTTATTTCATAATTCTGTATTTTACACCATGAAAATGTCTTCTTTTTTTGAAGTGTCAGCTTAATTTACAAATGAGGTTTATTTTAGCCCCATTAAGGTTTTAATTTATTCCAATCTGCCAGAATCTTATTTACATGGTAAAATATATATTAATGGATAAGGTATCTATGTTAGTGCCCAGCTCTACAAAAACAAATCAAAACCTTTAGGGCACGACATTTTTGACAGGGAAAATATCAGGCAAAAGCCATTAGATTTTTGTTCCCCTGGCCACAGCCTAGAAGACAGCAAGCAAGGAAGGTGCAGGGTGGGGTTAAGTAATATTTGTGACAAATTTCGAAGAATGAACGACATGCATGGAGTGCATTTGTCTCAGTCCTTGTACTGGGTGATGGAGTGACACTCTTTGATAAGTTTTAGAGCACACCCGGGTACGGCTGTAGGAAATGAACAGATGCAGGTGGTTTTGGCAGTCAAGTTGCAAATTATTTCAAGCCTATCTGAAGGCTCTGATTAACTGCTAGGTGGCAATGAATATGATTTTCTTTAATACGTCTAGAACACAAATTGGTATTAGGGAAAGCGCTTCGGGGCAGGACAGATACCCGGAGGGGGTCTCGCTGGGAACCTGGCTCGGCTCAGCATTTAAGAACATGCTAATTTCTCACTTAAGCAACTGGGATTCTAATTATGTTCTTTATTACAGCTTCAAAAAAGGAGAGAAGCTACTGAAAGAAACTTAAAACCTCATTGAGAAAGGATGCAATTTTATGTCATTTTCTTCCCTAATAGCAGAGTATTTACATAATGTCAAACTGAAACACGTATCAAATAACAGTAAAGGAAAAATCAGGTCTTGTCACTCCACGGCAGGCTTAACTGTTATGACTTAAGGAAAGCACAGTTATCGTTCAGCGTGGATGAAACACGTAATTGGCAAACCTCTTCTTTTTCATGGACATTAAATTGTTGGGTAAGAAGAGGTTTGCTACTGTATTTAAACTTCCACAATTTTGTGGCTAAAATAGAAAAAAAAATTGAAAATCCCAGCAGTGTTTGCATACATATATACACATCCCCTAATGACAACAGAGAACAAAAGTAGCATCAGCATTTTTCTCTGTAAACTCCGCATACAATTGTCCATGTCCTCAGCACCCAGCTCCCACCTTCCCAAACAACAACAACACCAGCCATTCCTACTGCTTCTTTTCATCTCCCTAATAGCCAATACAGCATGGTGTTTATAATTTTTTTATCATCGTGCTTGTAATTTCTGAACTGAAACTAAAAGATGATTAAACACACATATTTCCTCGTTATCTGTGAATAATTACCCTTCCAGAGTGAAGATCTTGTATAGACCTGCCTGTATATGCCCAGAATTAACTCAGGTTGACTTGCAAAGCTCTATTCCTTCAAGCAGACGGAGGACTCCCGCACAGGATGAATGGGATTTTTATTTCAACCAACTATATTTCTATCACGAAAACCACACATGTGGCAAGAGAAGAATGCTTTGTGTTGGCTTCTGTTCTGCACTAAAAGTACACTCTCTCTCCAAAAAACAGACTATAAAGGTTAGTAAGCAACCCTGCCTGCTGCTCTCATCTGCACAGTGATTTTTCCCCACTGATGTGCTTCCTCAGACGGGCTGGTAAAAACACACACTATCCACTCACGGCATCTCTGAAACTACCTGCTCAAATCTCATGCAATCAAAGATCAGCCGCGAGGAGGACTCCACAACCACCACCACTCCAAAAAGTACAGGTTAAGTCTGTTTCATGGTTCAAAATTAACCTTTTGCAGCAAGGATCAGCCAGAGCTGTTTGCAGCATCCCTATTATCAGTCCCCAGAGCACTGAAAGAGGATTAGCGAATTACTTTAAGTTTGGCATAGACATGAAATGAATTAGTGAATTGAAAGTACTCTTGGTTCGGTCTGTCTTTGAAAAAACGCTCTCCGCTAACCAACCTTCCCCAGTACAAACAACTCCCCGCTCGTTTTGCTTGCCTGCTTCCCACGGGGCACGCAGCCTGCCCTGGCAGCATCACCTGCTCTTCATCACCACGCTCCCACTGGGGCTCTTCGTTTCAGCGAGAACAGTGAAAATGCCAGACCTTCCCTCTGCCCAGCTCCAGGCTTCCACCATGAACTTTTGCTGCTTCCTGGGGAGGCTGTGGAGACTTGTTGCTATATGGGCAGACGTGTCTGAGATGCTTCTCCTCTCACACCTGTACTGATGTTGCTGTAATTGCTCTTGCTTGGTTTGAGCCTCACACCAGTGCCACAGAACCAGGCCTGCTCCTTATGAAATATCCATTTTTTATTAAAACCTTGAGCAGTTTACAGGGCATAAGCCTCACCACTTTGATTTATGAATGCTAGTTAATGCAGACACCCTTTTGTGACCGTAGCATCCTCTAGGTTTCCGCAACAACCGCTGTTCTTTGAATGGATAGGCATGTGCTCCATGGGTTTCTGTGTCAATGCCTGAGGGTGTAGAGAGTGAGCCGTGAGCAAGAAACAAGCTGTTCTGTAGCTACAACACATTAGGATGAGGCACTGAGGTTAGGAAACAAAAGCCAAGCTTTTACACAAATCTAGAGCAAAGCCTGTGTAAAGATGACCAGTTTGAGAGGTGGGCCAGCAGAGGAAAAAAATACACATTTCAAAACACAGGCAACAACTTAAAACTGTTTCCTTGTGAAGGACTGTATGCATCTTAATAACCTCATATGTCCCCATAAAAACCTCTGGAAGCATAAAACCAATTATTTCGGGTATGGTTTCACATTACACTTAATCCAATATAAGTGTGAAGCTGCTGCCAAAAAAGGAGGTACCCACCTCCACGACAGTTACATCAGATCAAGCATAGCAGCCTGTCGTACTCGATTACACACCACTTCTGAGCAAGGGAGAATAGGTAAGGAAGTGATAAAAGTGCTCAGAAAGACATTTTGTGTGTGATAAACACATAACATCACCAGCGTGGCTTTGCTCTTTGCTTGTTAATGCAACCATTTCTGCTGGAATGACCTATTTAGCGTGCATTTGTCAACAAGCGACAGATTGGCGTGAGTGGCAAAAACAATGACAAAAATCCTGTTTCCATCCTCAAAATAAATTGCTCACTCTGCCCTCACCGAAAGGGTATACGCTACCTAAGACTTGCACATCCGCAAAGAACTTTACAAGAAGGAAAACGATGAAGTAAGAACTCAAAATAACACCACATCTAAACATCATGTAAACACCAAACACACAGCCAGAAATATCCAGACTACTTATTCACCTTTCTCTCAACAGAATGCTGTCTTCCTTCAGCTTTTGAGAGACTTCAAACACCTACCCATGACACAAACTTCAAAAAAGCCTCAGCCTAAGGAAGCCTCGGACTGTTTAGGTCCGAGACAGCAAATTACAGCCAGAGACTAAAATTCCACAACAAAAATATCTCCAGTGTTCAAACTCAGACTAGACCGAAAAACATTTTTCTCCAGCGCAAAATATACTTTTTGAAGCTTTTCTAGATTGGAATTTATTTTTAGTTAAATATTTTAAGCAAACTGCATTCTTTAGAATAAAACACTACAGTTAGCGTTACCTAAAAATACTTAAGAAATCTCTTTTTAAATAGAGCATCCCAGCACCACTCCTTTAGCTTGCAGAAAAGGACATGTTTAGGAAGCAAACACCTACTACACAAAGGCAGTCTTTTCTTTGCAAAGCTCAGGCTAGTAATATCAGTCTCTGTTAGTAAACGTTAATACTCTAGATCACAGCGCGTGCTGTATTAGCTACAAACCAAGTGTGAAATTATCAGTACGTGAGATTTAGTTGTACATTGGTACAAAAGTATGACTATTTCCAGTTTATTACTCCATAACTCCTAAGTGAAAGCAAAGCATAGTACTATACAACGTACACAAAGAACAACACGCAGAATTGAATTGTTAATATATAAGTATTCATACTAATCTGTTTACAATAAATTCCGGGGTTGAGAGGCTGTCCTCATACCCAAGCATCTCAACTGGGAAGCAATTTGCAAAACCAACTATCTTTTTCAAACGTTCTCTAATGTTCAGCAACCTGCAGATTTTCACAAAATCTCTTACCCGTTAGATGCTACAATATTTGCTTGCTGTTTGGTCTCACCACCTTTCACTTGCTCCTTGAATTTCACTTGTGCTTTCGCTGTTTCCTGCTTTTCTGTTGCCTGATGTTTACGTCCTGTTTCTTTCTACCAGCACCACTAGAGTTAGATTTCCACTCTTTGCAGGAACTGTAGCTTAAGTAGCTGCTTCACTGTCACCTTTTTGGGATTAACTCCCATTTCTTTTCTCAACCCAGCGTGTTTTTCACTTTCGCAGCTGCTAGCGAGCAGCCTGCAAGCTAAAGCGAAGGAATCTACGCCTCTGTCTTTCTAAAAGCAGCGTTGCTGTTTGGTTACTTTGCTTTTGTCACTTCTCCTCCCGAGAAACTGCAATGTAAGTGTTTGTAGATATTTACTTTTACCACATTCAAATCACTACTACTAATTAGCAGCAATCAGCTGGTATTAGTTTTCACCAAACACTGCGCAGATAGTCAGGAACACAGATTTGCTTACCGCCTGATCTCAGGCTGGCTGTTGAGGAACCATCCTCTACCAAAACACATCTTTAAACAGGGAGAGTTTGGGTTTCTTGTTCTT